GTACATTCGTTGGATCATTGCTTAACTTTCCACTTTGCTTTTCTGGTGAAGTCACATATCATATGTCCAAAATGGCTAGGAGGAATCATGGGGTTTATGCATATAAATACAGCATTGCTTTTCAAAAGGGACAGAATATGTTCAAGAACTATTTATATTCTGGGCAAGCTTCGAATCTGTATATATTACGTGTACAGAAAATAATCCATTATGAGCATATCTTGTGTTGGGTGCCAAGCTACATGACCTTTTGCTACTGATGTCATGCCTATTCATATTAATAGGAATTAAAGATACCAAGAGGACCAAAACTGATGCCAAGAATGCATGGAATGGTTTCCATGGAGCATAATGGCACGATTGTCTTATAGAACAAAATTGAAAAGAACTAGAGAACGGGAAAGGGTGTGGTGTCTATAAAAATGAAAAACTTTATTCATGGATTCAAATTTATGCCTAAAATGAATTGGATGCAATATTTCATTCTCAGTTTTCAGGCAAAAGTTAGAAACTAGTTAAATAGTGATAGGATTTTCAGAGAAGTCTGGCAAACTCTCTGGGAATTTTCTTCTTATCCACCTCAAATATTCTTAGTACCAGCTCTTCATTCTTCTCTGAGAAATGAAAAAAGAACCCACTTGTTTTCAAAGCAACACTTTAGAAAAGTTTCCTTCCACTGTCCTCTTTAGGATGACATGGGAACAGTCTTCACTTTCCCTTGGAAGCCTGTCACTTCCCCCACACATCTGGAAGGTCTTGTTGGATGAGTCTATTTACCATGAAGTACCTAATATGGACACAAAACAACTGAAAACAGACCCTTGTCCAATAGGGTCTAAAACATGTGTTTTGTCCTCTCGTCCAGTAGGTCACTTGTTCCTTGTGTTCCATAATCATAATTAAATCCCTCATTGTAGATTAGTGAGCAATGAAAGCCAGCAAGTGGCTTTAACATTACTGTGGTGGTGAGGATGCTGGCCATCCAGATGCTGTCCAATGGCCCGAGTGTCGTTTCAAGTACTATTTCCTGGGCTAAGTTCCAGTAAAGGTGTCCTTCTTGTGCCAACCTTCAAATTATTCCGTAGTTTAATTTTGTAATTACTAGCTCAGATAGTTTTCTTATGGTGCTTTCCCCCATTATATTTAAATAGCTCTTTCCTACTCCTTTTTATTGTGTAGAATCTGTTTTTATTATTTCCTAAGGGTACCAGCTTCCTGCCTGAATTTGCCTATTTTCTTCTTCTGCAGAGTAATATTTTCATGCTTAAACCTCTCCCAACCTTGGCCCCCGATCTCTGTGGGATCATTGAGTCTGACCAGTATGATAATTTAGAGTGTTGGTTTCTAGACTCACTCTCATCTGAAGGCTATGCTTCCTGTACTCCTGGACTGGATGGATCTATTGCTTCTTGCAAACTTCATCTTTCCTTTGATTGTTGTGCCTCTTTGTTTTGCTGTAGTTCACTTTCAAGCAGTTGCACCTGAAAAAATGTATGGGTTCCGAGACTTGACAAGTTTGAAATGTCTTTTATTCTGTTCTCACTTCTGATTGAGAGCTTGGCTGAGTGTAGATGTCCAGGTTGGAAAAAAAAAATTCCCTTAGAACTTGCTAGCATGATAAAAGGACTATATCTCCACACTGCTGACATCACACTCAGTGTTTAAAGGCTGCCTTCGGTACTTCTGTTCAGATGGGAACTGATGTTTCAGCCAGAGAAATTAAGCAAGAAGATGAAATAAAGCCACATGGAAGACAAAGGGAGAGCTAAACCTTCCTGTTTACACAGGACTTGATTGTATACACAAGGAATCCTAAAAATAGTCCTCAAAATGCTCAAACCTGGAAAGGGAATTCAGCAAAATTGTTGGACATGAAACCAATATACAAAGTTCAGTCATATTTCTATCCATTATCAGTGAACAATCCAAGAAGAAAATAAGGAAAACAATCCATTTCCAGCAGTATTGAAAGAATACCTCCCTTTTATTTCTTTATTTATCTTTACTTTTTTCTTTCATTTTTGAGTTTATAATATAATTACATTATTTCACCCTTCCCTTTTCTCCTGCTGAACCCTCCCATACACCCCTTTTTGGTCACTTTCAAATTCATGACCTCTTTTATTTTTATTAATTGTTATGACACACATGTATGTAATATACACATATACATATATTTTACTAAATATAACATGCTCAGTCTGTAAAATGTTACATGTACGTATGTTTTCAGAGCTGACCATTGGTATTAGATAACCAATTGTTGTGCTCTTCTCTGGGAAAGACCATTTCTCCCACTCCCAGTATTCCTTAGTTGTCTGTGGTTCTTTGTGTAGAGTTGAGGTTTCACGCTTCCCCCACCCCCATCCACGTTGGCGTGTCTATTGTTGTCCTCGTTCAGCTCATGTTTAGACCGTTACGTTGATGAGACTTTATAGGTGTAGCTTCTGACATTGCTAGGAGACACAGTCTGACAGTAGATTCCCTGATCTTCTTGACTCTTACCATCTCCTGCTTCCTCTTCTGTACCATTTCCAGATCCTTAGGTGTGACAGTGTTTTGTGGATATTTCGGTGGGACTGGGCTCCACAGCTCTGCATTTTGATCAGCTGTAGTTTTTTTGGAATAGTCTCTGTCTTCTGCAAAGAAAAGTTTCCTTGATGAGGGGTGAGGACTACACTTACCTCTGGATATAAGGACAAATATTTAGAGTGTAGTTAGGGATTATGTTATTTTAATAAAGTGGTGGTTGTGGAATAAATGTGGTTGAGGAAGGTGAAAGAATTATGCATGGAAAACTGCAAACACGCTGCTGAAAGAAATGAAAGGGTATCAAACAAATGAAAACATACACATGAATGGACTAGAAGGCTTGATATTGATAAGGTATCAGTACCCAAAGCAATCGACAGAGCCAGTGCGATGTGCATCAAGTGCAATGCACATCAGAGCTCTGTCTGTTCCTGACAAGAGTCTGTCTCAGATTCATTCAGAATGACAAGCTTAAAAAAAATATCCAAACAAGTATTGGGGGAAAAAGCCCAGCAAAGTTGGATGTCTTACACAAAACTTATACAGAATGATAGCCATCAAGTCAGCACACTGATAGGTAAATTATTGGTGGGTTAGAATTAGGAGCATAAGTCAAAGACCCATCTCTCTGGGCCAGTTGATTTCAGTAAGAGTACAGAGACCACTTACTAAGAAAAAGATCTTCAGTAATTCTAGTGAGACAACTGGATATCTGTTTGCCAGAGAGTGAACTTGAATTCTTAATTTACTTCATGTACAAAACTTAATTCAAAATACACTAAAGACCCAGATAAAAGTTAAAACTACACAACTCTCAGAGAAACCATAAGGCTAAACCTTGATTCTCTTAGACATAACACTGAAAATACAAGTAACTGAAGGAAAACAAATTGGATTTCATCAAAATTAAAAGGTTTAACTCCTCAAAGCAGGCTATCAAAAGAATGAAAAACAACCTGTGGAATGAGATATTTTAAAATCATATCTCTGGTATGGTCTGCCACTCTGAATATATAAAAATCTCTTTTAAATCAACAATAAAAAGACAATTCAATGTAGCTAAAGTTTTCTTGCCTGGCCCACAGTCAGAGCAAATCTCTCTCACCTGCCAGTCCCACAGCCTCTCAGACCCAACCAAGTAAACACAGAGACTTATATTGTTTACAAACTGTATGGCCATGGCAGGCTTCTTGCTAACTGTTCTTACAGCTTAAATTAATCTATTTTTATTAATCTATACCTTGCCACATGTCTCGTGGCTTATCGGCATCTTTACATGCTGTTTCTCATCGTGGCGGCTGGCAGTGTCTCTCTGACTCAGCTTTCCACTTCCCAGCTTTATTTTCTTCCTTGTCCCGCCTACACTTCCTGCCTAGCCACTGGCCAATCAGTGTTTTATTTATTGACTAATCAGCAACACATTTGCCATACAGAACATCCCACAGCACTTCCCCCCCCCCCCTTTTTTTTTAAAAAAAAGGAAGGTTTTAACCTTAGCAAAGTAAAATTATATATAATTTGGGAATTTGGGCATAGCTTCTCTTACTACTTCCTGTTGGAGGGGGGTGCTGTATCTTATGGGGACATAAAGAAAATTTTAGGATTATAGAATAGTCCATGAGGCTGTATCGTCTGAGCTAGTTGCCTTGAAACCATTCTGGATGTTGAATCATCTGGACCTTGGTGTTACCTTTCATGGGGTCTTGGCTGGTCAAACCTGATGTATCTTAATCTGGAACAAATCCATAGCCTCTGGCTTTCTGTGGGCACAAAAGAGACTCTTTTCCAAAGCAACATATCCTTATATCCAAATTTTGAAGTCAAGGTACCTTTAAAATATACATTTTGGCATAACTTAACAGTTTTTACAATCAAATGTTTTTCTGCAGTTAAAAAATCCCAAAGACAACACAATCCAGATTCTCTGTGTGATATTTATCTTTACGTGGCTTATTTTTTATATTAATTTTACTGTTTTTTTAAAGACTTTATTTTTTAAAACTATGTATTTGTTTATGTAACTGTATATATCACCTTTTTTGTCTCTTTTAAGCCTACGTATATTTTACACACATTGTAAACTATTACATCTGAATCTCTTATTGTGAATCTATTGCCTTAAACTGCAGCAGCTGTGGCTGCTGGCTCCGCCCACCTCAGCTTCCCAACATGGCGGTGGTACGGTATGTTTACCGCCAGCTCTGGGAGCTATCGTGGGTCTATGTTTTTATCCAAGCAGCATGTAGCCCAAAAACCTCTTTTTTTGTTTTGTACTAGTAAAGGCTAAATCCATCATGCAGCTTAATGTGTCACTTGCAGAGGACTCATTCTCGCCATACGGCAGGTTGAGCGCGCGCGCGCACACTAGGAACCAGCCAGTAGCTCAAACCAGCAGCTGCCACTCATTTGAGAGAGACAATTAGGAAGCTGTTTTTAGCTCCGTTTTAGAATCTTTTTTTTTTTTTCAGTTTTTAGGTGGAAACTCTTGTCACCACGTTGGATGCCATTAGGTGACTGTCCAGGCTGCCAGCTGTCTCGGTCTACTCTCACAAGATTCCCGAAAGTTGCTTGCATTCATCTACCATTTCTCAGGTACCATTATATTCCTTCTCAGGTCTTTGATGGGATTGAAGACTACCAGTTATAGTTACGACTTAGTAGATAGAACATAGTAAGTATTAGATTCAGGTTCTTTAGGATAGGACACCTTTTGGAATGATCTTTGTAACATGCCATTTACCTATGCTCTATACTTCTCTGGACTTTCGTATGTGTTTCTTGCTTGATATTGTTTGCATTGGTTGTAGTTCCATCTTATCTAGGTCATTATCCCTCATTATTCCTGGACAATATTTGATAACCATTTCTTTGTATATAGTCTTGTATTAGGTTAGAACTTTCTTATTTAGACAAAAAGGGGGAGATGTAGTGGGTAGCCATTCCAGCTTCGATCTGGAAGTTCCAACCCCCATTGAGACTTCGGCAACTGTCACGCCTACAAGGTGGGGCCAAGGGAGGCACCTGGGGACCCGAGATCTGGATCGGCGGGGACACCTTCCCCAGACCCCGCGACCTACCTATCCCTTAATTTGTAAGTTACACCATTAAATAAATCTCCTTTTAACTACGTGGAGTGGCCTTAATAATTTCCCCAATATCTCAATTTAAAGATGGATAAATACAAAGAATGGTTTTGAATAGACATTTACTCAGAGAACATATTTTGGTTTCCAAGAAGTGCATAAAAAATTCAATATTATTTAGTAATTAGTGTAATTATAACAAGCCCATGGTGAGATACTACCTCATACCTACTAAGATTCCCATGGGGAAGAAGAGAAAAGGAAAAAGGAAAGAGTGGTAAGGATGTAGAAAAATGTGAACTTTCAGACACTGCCATGTGGGGTTTATCCCATTTATTTTATTTTTTATAGATAAAATTAACATATAGTTTATATAAAAATAAAAATATTTTTTATTGTCTTTTACTTGTATGGATTTTTTTTTGCCTGTATGTATGTGTTTACACCATGTGTATGCCTGGTGCCCTCAGTGGTTAAGTAGAGAGCATAGGATCCCCTGGAACCATTATTACAGATGGATTGGAGCCACCATGTGGTTGTTGGGAAGCAAACCTGGGTCCTCTGTGTTTACTGCTTTAGAGGTGATGGGACCAGAGATAATAGAGCTGATAAATGAGGCAGATGAAAGTCTTATGCAACAGCCAACTTTATTCAGAGCATCAGACAATTTATACCCTGGGTTAAGAGGAGTCACATACTAAAGTGTACAATCACAAGGATAAGCCACACATGGTAAAAATAAAAGCAAAATGTATTTTTCTATAGAGGCATATAAACAAATAACAATAGCCAGTTGTACTGAGTAATCTGAAGTAAACTCATGCCTGTCCGCTATACTTGGGAAGGGCACAAAAACACATTCCAAGAACAATTTCAAGATTTTGAAGAAACTGAGGTCACAAGACTCTTGTCTTGTTTTCTTGAAGTTTTCTCACAAGCACTCAGAATTATCCTCACAAGACTCCATTCTTGGACCATGTTCTGCTGACACTCTGCAAGAACAAGTGCTCTTAACTCTGAACCATCTCTACAGCCCCGTCCTGTGTTTATCTTAAAAACAACAACAAAAACAATTTAATGGAAGAAGAAGGCTAGTGTAACTCAGAGGGCTAGTTGGATTTGACAACTTGTTGAGGCTTTACTGTAGCATAAAAACTAACATAGGGGTGCCTTGAAAGCATTGTGGAGACCTTATCTCCATTTGTAATTGGCTTTATTTGAAGCTTTACTTTAAGAAAAGGAGATTACTCTCAATAATCTGGGTGGCCTTTATAAAGTCACCAGAAAGGCTGTGAGAGCAAAAAGAGTCTACCTCAAGACTCCAGTCTTCAACTCCTGCCTCACTTTCCAGTCTATTGGTCCTGTCCTGACTCGCTGCTTCACACAGTGTGTGCCAAATTTAAACTATCTACCCATACATCTAATCTATCTATCTATCTATCCTCTACCTATCATCTATTTCTCTATCTATCATCTATCTATTATCTATCTATCTATCTGTCTATCTATCTATCTATCTATCTATCATCTATATATTTTTATTGAAGCACTTCTTGACCTTTTAGCTAAGATCAAGTGTACTGATTTATTTACTGTGTGTGAATGTGTATGAGTGAGTGTGCAACACATCACATGTGTAGAGATCAGAAGACAATTTGCAAGAGTCAGTTCTCTCTTTCCACCATGTGGGTTTGAGCACCAGATTCTGCTTATCACGCTTGGTAGAAAGCATCTTTACCAACTGATACACCAGACTGACCTCTACCTATTGTCTATCTATCTCCACCATCTGTGTATGCATGCATGTATGTATGTATTTGTATCTCTATCATATATATATGCAACCATGTATATGTGTATGTATGTATGACTCTATCATCTATGTACATACATCAAAATCATCTACATGTGTATTGTACATATCTAGTCATCTATCTCTATCATCTCTGTACCTATATATCTATGTGTGTTTCTATGTACCCATATATTTTTCTGTCTGTCATCTATACATCCATGCACCTTCTATGGATTCTACTTTTCTGGAAAATCTTGATTGATACAACACTTTAAAAAATATTCTTTTAACAGATTGAAAGTATTTTCCTAATTTTATCCCAAGAGTTGCTGATGAGAATCATGGTGGTGCCTGCCTGGTGCTCTTGCTTCTGAAAATTCTTTCTTTCTCTTTGGAGGCCTTTGGAGTGATAGTTGGTTCAGAAGTTAGACCACAGTTATCTGGGTTTTGGTCCGCAGCAGGACAGCAGTTTTCCTGCAGGAAGACACATTTCTTGTTTTGGTTCTGAGGGGTAGTTAAGCATTTCACTTGCTGTCTCCTCTCCAGCATTCTCCCGATTTCCTTGGGCTCCTGTGCTGTTAGATGGCTCTTTGGCTTTTTGATACTCTTCTATGTGCCCTGCGTTCTGTCTTCTTGCATCTTTAGAAAGGAGTTGCATGGTCTGTCATTCTGCTTGGGGTGGACACTTTGAAAATTGTGTTTGAAAATTTCAAGAACTCACATATCCTGCAGTCACTCTTTTTTCTTATTTTAAAAGTGTAATCTTTTCTGGAATTTTGAATAAAATATTGTCTGTTTGAGTTATCTTTTTCTTCAAGGCCCAGTTTTCTGTCTCTAACGACAGACAATATGAAGCAGTGGTTTCTCTGTGCCGACAGGTGAGAGTTCGGATCTCATTGGTGATGCAGGTGAACAGTGTGACCTTGGACAGGCTGCTTGTGCATCTCTGCCTCCATCTCCTGAAGCAGAACACGCATGCTCAGCTGGTGAAGCTGGCAAACATTTAGAGACCTCTTTATGAGCACAATTAACCAACACCCAGTGAGGCCCTGACAAAGGGAAAATGTAATTAGTAGCTTTTCCTTAACACTGCAAGCTTTACTCCAATGACTAATGTATCCTGGCTGCTCTCAGTACCTATGGGTCCATAGCTTCTCTGGGGTTCTACTACGTGTGCCTTTTCTGTCTGTGGCTCCTTCCATGTGGACTCACAGCTGTTTCTCTTTTCTCTCCCCCATTTATCAATAGATACCCTTCAATCAATTTTTCATTTTCCATAATTTGGAGAAATCATTTATTAGCTAGCTAAAAATCCCCCTAACCTGTCTCCTTCCTGGAAATTTATACTTGCTTATTTCAAAAAATTCTCCATTTCTATTTTAACATGTTTCAAGATGGTAAAGAGAAAAATCCATGTACTCAGGTATCGTTTTGAACCCAAATGCCTAAAATACTTACAAGATTTTTTGCAGCCTGAATTCAAGCTTAATTTCTAAATTGAAAATACTGTATTGATATCATGTGTATGTTTATAATCTTTCTAGAAAGGCCTATTGCTAGTCTTTATATTGTTTTACTTCTCCTCAATATCATTATATAAGTGCCATTTATTTTCTCGTGTGTGTGTGTGTGTGTGTGTGTGTGTGTGTGTGTGTGTGTGTGTGTGTGTGACATTCTTGTGTGTGAGTAGCATGCATGCTCAGAGGCAGAGGGCAATCCCAGGGTTGTCAAGGTCTTCCACCTCGTTTGGGACAGTGTCTCCTTTCTGCTGTTTGTCTGTTGTTTGATTAGCTCATGTCAGCGGTGCACGAGCACCGAAGGACTCTTCTGTCTTTGTCTCCTGCCTCACTGTAGGAGCACTCAGACTCCAGATGGCACACTATGCCACCCTGGTTTGTGTGGGTTCTGGGGAATTCCATTTCAGGTCCTCACACTTGCATGACAAATGTTTTATCCATCACCTCCCCAGCAGCTCCCATTTCCCCCTTTTAGGAAAACAAATTAATTTTTTATCATTTATTTTAAAATCACACTTAGGGTAGAGAGATTGTATTGTAAAGAAAGCTTTATATGTATGAAATAAGTTGTCATCCCTTCACACCAGGGTAATTAGTGCTGGCCTTCAGCTTTCTAAAACCATCACGTTCTCATCTACAGTTATGAGTCTACTCATTTCTTGCAGATTCTGCCACTCTAAAACCCCACATTCCAGCTCACACAGGCTCTCCTGACTGCATGCAGGGAAGGAGAAGATTTTCCTCAGCTCATGATGCAGATTCCTACAAAGCCGGCAATGGGCACTATGTCTGCAGCCTGTTCCTCCCGAATATTCTTCACCAACTTCCTTACAACAGATTCTCCAGGAAAAGAGCCAAAGGAGAAGAACAATTAAAAAAAAATTTTTATACATATGACCAAGCTACCTCCTCAGCCACTTGTATTCATTTAAGCAGGACTAGCAATGCTATATTTTGTTCCTACTTTCAGTACTAACAATTATTATTTTGAGAATTTTTAAAATATAAAAACCAGTAAGTATAATCCCACTTTATATTTTTAATAATGAAGAAAATTAAAAATAATTTAAATAGATATCTTTGTTGCATTTTTTTTTTCTTTTTGCAAATTGTTCAGTTTTGTAGTGTTCACTCTCAAAGTTCTTTTAGTCTACCTTGCAATTGGTTTTGATTGGGAACATTGAACATTGTAGGCAC